TTTTGAGGCTTTGGAAATGTGTTTCTCTGCTTGAAATGACCTGCCCAGTTCTGAAATTTTAAGATTTTTTTTTTCTGGATAATTCAAAGCTTTTTTTTTTTTTAATAACATACGATTGAGGATTTATTCATGTATATGAGAAAGTGTGAGTCTGGAGGTCACTGTGAAATATTGCTAGTGTCTATATACAGAATTTATATGGGATTTAATGGGTTGGAAGTTGATACTTCAGTCATTGCTGTGCTGAGATAAATTTGGCATTGTTATGGTAATGATTGTAGTCACTACCTAGTGCTAGTGGTTGGGGGAGGTGTTGGTTTGATTTTTTTTTTCTTTTTTTTTTAAAGAAATGTGAAAAAAAAAATCTGGTTGTTTTTTTTCCCCTGATGTTAATTAAAGTTACCAAAAGTATGAGTCCACATACCTACATTTTTACTATCCAGAAGGGAAAAGCCAGCTCTGATTTCTAATGATCTTAAGAGTGATGAACCCAGTGCAACAAGAGCATAGCGAAACATGATTTGTGCTGCTTCTTTTTACGTCTCCATGGCACATGGTGTAGGTTTCTGTTTCCATAAAATGATTCACTGCTATTAGATGTGAGACACAAATGTCTGCGTAAATCTGAGTGCTGTAGTTTAGTATTTCATCACAGATATAATGTTGCACTAGTGCCAGAAAGTTTTGATAATAGGACAGGCAATTAACTTTCTTGTCAAATGGCAACTATAACTCAAGACTATTTCTTGCTCAAGTATCCATTTCTGTCTTAGATTCGGTCTTTATTTTGCAATTTGCAGATCTTGTCTATTATTACCTAAGCAGATTACTGGAATAAGATATCAGCATGCTATTAGCTTCGCTATAAAGCCTTTCAACGTGCTATATAAGATTAAGTTCTCTATGTGATAGCTTAGGAAATGTACATAAAAGGGAAAAAGCAAACCTTTTCAGGATAGTTTACAGAACCTAACAGTTCTCTTAATAATTTGGTGAGATAAGCCTTCAAGATGGGATTCGGTAAACTCTTCTGAAGGACTAAAACTGATTACATGAAAATCAAACATTTTCTGTGCTTGTATGAATGAGCAAAACTGGTAAAAATTGGTTCATCCCAACCCTAAAATGCTTTCTTTCAGCCCTAACTGCTCACCCCAGAAATGCCAGATTTGAGGTTACCTGTCATATACGTTACGATACATACAGTCTTTAACTGTACCTGCTACATTTTACATAGGACCCTGTGCCAGAGGTGTGCTGGATTGGTGATGCTCTCTTATTCTTAGTTTCTCTTTATAGTTCCATGTTTTATTTAGTATGTGCCACTGAGGCATCAGTCTGAAGAGAAAGGAATTTGAGTTTTCTTGTGTGCAGGCCGAGCTAGAATCTGCAGGATTTCCCTGTAAACCATCGCCAGTTGAATTAATAGGTTTGCTGCTTGCAGTGTTACCTTCCTCTGTGAGGAATCAGCAGATGAGATACACACATATGTGTTTGTGGCAGTCTCATTGCTTACCAGGTATCATTTCTCTCCCAAATTCCTCTCTTCTCCATACTTATCTCACTTCTGTCTGTTTCCTCAGTCATACACTAGCTTTCGTCTCCCATGCTCGTTCCTTTTTGTCTTATTCTCCCGATCAGCCATTTGCAGACTACTTCCTTTCAGCAACTGATCTTTCTTCTAGGCCAGCAAGTCCTTAACTCCGTTCTAGTTTTTCTGCAGTTCCCTCTTAGCTCTATTCTTAATTTGCACTCCCAAGTAGCATATTCGTCTCAAAGTAATACCCCGTCTAATGCAAATCTTAAGCCTAATTTGTCTTCATTTTAGTTAGGCAGATCCTCTATCTTTCTCTAGTGGAAGGGGACAGGTGTGTAAAAAGGGTATTACTGAAAGAGCAGGAGGTAAGTTTCTGAGTTTCAGGTAAAGTGTCTGTTCTATAATGGCAGGACAGAGTCTCCTAGTGCTTCACTGGGCTCTCAGATAAATTCCAGGATATTTAGCCTCTAAAATGAGAAAAATCAGAACTGAGAACGCGATGGCTTTGTTAGATTGCAGCATTCATTCATAGTAAAAGCAAGCAAGCACTTTCTGGCACAGAGTGGGATCCATATTTACCTTATGGATGTTATGATGTTTAAACATCTGATAAACCAGATACTTAAAAGCTGATTGCATGCAATAGTTGTCATGGATTACTTTTACTGTCAGCATGGAGAAACAGGCATTTTCAGAACTCAGCTCATCTTCATTATCGTAAGCATCTCTTAGAATCGGGGGAATCAGTCTCTGAAAGAATGTTACAGTTATCACCAGGGCAAGCCTGGAGTTAAGCTAAAGAAGCGTTAGGGTTTAAGAGAGAAAGTATAGCAAGGGCAACAGAATCCTGGTTTTATTGCATTGTGGCTGGACTTCCACATAAACTGTTACTGATGATATGGCTTTGAAACCAAACCTGATTGTTATCCTTGGTAGGCATCTGCATGTTACCTCATATATACTTTTTTTTTTAAGATGACTTTTCAGTGTATGATAGTCATATGAACTAGACAGTCCCCTGGTTACTTCGGCTGTATCTTGTGGGAGAGTTGTGCTGAGTGTGTGAAGGGAGACTTTGTAAGTCTGCAGAAATTAAAAAACAACCAACCAAACCAAAAACCCCACAATGAAACGATGTCACAGGAAATTGAAATTTCTGAACAGCCGATACAGTAGTATCATTTACAAAATGCTGCACTGTTGGGAAACCAAGGAAGAGTAAAAAGGCACAGTTAGAATACTTCGTCACTCTCCAAAATGGAAATGTTTCAGGTTATCTTATACTTGCAGTGTATACAATTATTAAACTACTAATAACTATGCTTTATTATACTAACACGATTAATCATTTTACTGCATATTTTAATTATATTTTCATTTGAGTTCCTTCAGAACTGTATTTCTGTTTTAGGGCTTACAGCAGAAAGATACTTAAATAAAAGTCCTTATTTGAAACTCCTAAGGAAACCAAGAGAATTACATATACGTGCTTACATATTGTCCTTTTTTAGGACACTAATTGAAATCCAGTTAATATTGTTAATAAAGATAAAAGGTATGTTTTAGAAACAGAAATGCTTTGTGGTAAAACTAGGTGTTCATAGCCTCCTCTGTGCTAGTACCTATGTCATACGTGTTGTTAGCTTGTGTTTGCTGTGTTTAAGATGCAGCTAGAGTTTTTGGCCAACTGTCCGCTATAAGCAGTGCAGTTCAACAGTTCCACAGTTAGGGTCATGTGTATCTGCAGTGGCGAGTGTTCTGCAGTTCATCATTTTGAAAATGGATTTGCGTTCAGAATTAATAACTTTGATCTGAAATGTCAACCCTGGTCCTGCAGCCAGGATTTGCAATGTTCTTTGGTGGAGGGGGGCATGGGAAGGTGTGCCTGGAGCTAACAACTGAACAGTTTCTTTTTGGCCCTGATGTTTTAGGGGTCTGCTACCATGTCTTTCTAGAAGGGGACTTCCAACCCCACGAACAACTGAACAGCCAGTCATTAGGGGAAAACATCACACTCGCTCAAGGTCGAGTGAGCACTCTAGTATCAGACCCTTATGCTCTGTACATCACCTAGCGCCCGGAGGGTCGGCGCCACCTTCTCCACTTCTGACAAGGTTGCTATTATGTGTACAGCACAGCTTTCATGTTCTGCCTCCCAGGTGTCAGTGTGGTGTTGTACTTTCCTGAGCATACATGGCGCGTTCACTCATTCTGGCACTGTAGATTATCCTTTCTTCATGGTATTTACACTTCTCCCATATCCTTTATGCCACCTATCTTCACCATCCAGATGGAACTTCTTGCTGTTGAACTTAAATAGTTATGCAATGTAAGAGTGAAAAATCGGCTGTGTTTTGTCCTTCCATTGTTGTGTTTTGTTCTGTATCCATATGAAAACTATCAAAGTATTTTTCTTAAACACTGTGCAGGAAATCACGTGCTGTTCACGCAGCTAACTCTGATCTTATAGGCTAAGAGAAAGTCAGTTGATCTATGTAGTGTGGAAGCCAACAGTATTTTGAACTTGCTCAGATGCGTTACTTAAAATTGCAAATTATCTACGTGCAAACTTAGTGTAGTTGATAAACAGTGCTTATCCACTATAGTGAGTGTGATGTTACTGTAACTGGCAAGGGCACTTAATAGTAAGCTCTCCCTGTCAGTGGTCTGCTTCTTCTCATCTTTGTTTTACTTTCTTAAATTTCTTCCCTAGTTATTAGAGGTGGCCCTACTTATTTTAAATGCAAACTTACCAGCGTTCCAAAGGTGTTTGATGTGTTACGCTCAGATGCTGTATCTATGTATAAGAAATCAAGTAGCCAAGGTGCTCTGAAATAGTGCTAGCTAGAATTCCGCCAAAGGGGTTTAGGATATTTACTTAGGTAAGAATATTAAAAATCTTGTACATTCTTTGCGCGTGCACACACACGCACCCCCTCAATAACAAGGTTAAAGGTCTTTTTCCTTCTTTGAGTTGATGGAAAAACAACACGTTATCCCACAGGAATAGATACTTGCTGTCCAGTTCTCTGTGGCCTTGTGCAATTATTGCATCAGCACAAAGGGAATACAAAAGTTAATAAAATACAGAGATGGCATTTTCTATTGCCCTTGTACCAGTGCAGGAGAACATACATAAATTGTGAGTCATAATCATAAATAGTTCTTAGAAAACTGCTTTCTCTTCAGTGGTTTTTGAGTAGTACTTCATTAAAAAAAACAAAACAAACAACAAAACAAAGGAAAACATTTCTCCTTAGTTGAAGGTAGTTAGAGAAATTAAACATAAGGCCTTGTAAATTTACTAGGTATCCAGACCTGAGTATGTGCATATGGCATGCACCAAATGCAAACTTCTTCAAACCCATCTTCAGTATATGCAACTTAATATGTGTTTAACGTTCAGAATATAAAAATTCTCTTAATTTGGGTTATTTTACTTTTATCTTCATTTCATTTGCAGAATACATCAACAAGGAAGTCCTACACAGTCTCCTCCTGCAGACACATCCTTCAGCAGTCGCAGGGGAAGACAGCTACCGCAAGTTCCAGTAAGAAGTGGCAGTATAGAGCAAGGTATCAAATAATGAGCTTATGATAGCTCAAACTCTTTGATTTCTTACCTTTTTTTACTTAAAGTCTACTTTCATACCTACGTGTTCAATCCTACAATTCTACCAATAAAGCAATAGAAGAGAATGAAAGCATATTTGTAGTCTTGGAAATCCAGTAGAGTTTGACCGGTGGATTATTACACATGGTTTAATTGCCTTAATTTTCTAGTATCCTTTTATGTTTGTCTGCTTTAAAATTTCTATTAGAGTCGTGGTAGTTTTCAACAAATATCTACTTTGTATTCAGCTAAAGAAATCAGGGGCAAAGATTTTGACAACATTCTGACAGTCTTACTCATTTCTTATTTTGTGGTTTATATTAATTGTTGTGCATTGTTAACATAGATTAATAATAAATATCACAAATCTGGTTTTCCTCTGGAGTTCATAGTTTAGTGATTAAAGAATGAAAATAGTCACCATGAGAAATGTAAAAGCACAGGTCATCAGCTCTTTCTTAAGAATAAACTGATCAGGCAAAGAGTGCTGCTCTTTTCTGAAAAAGACAATGTAGACCTAGTGGTTGTGGAAGATGTTTTTTACATACTAATATCAAATAAGTATGAATATTGCTGTTTCCTTTTCTAGCAACATACTGCACAGAGAGTATGAGCTATTATGGTAAAATGAAATGGCACAATGGATATTTGCACATTCAGGTTTTCTTCTGTGTTTAAAAAGCCTGTTTTCTCATTGACTACAAGCAACAACTGAGATTGCCATGTACCACAAGGTTTTCTTCTGTGTGGAAATTAAAGAAATGCTTCTAATGATGAAATATTGTAGTGCTTTACAGAACTGTTGGCAGACTGCTTTCTTTAGTAGGTAATGTTGCTGACCATGACCTTATCATGATAGGTCACCATAGGGGTTTTTTGTATGATGGCTTATATTAACATGCAATCAGCTTACATTAATTTAATGGCTTTGAGCTGTGATGGCATACTACACCTTCAATTAACACATATAAAAATGTATTCTTGTTTTATACATGTGTTTATTCAGAATGGTTAATATACTAATACAAGCGAGTTTTATTAATTTTGAACTTTACAGTCGAGTCCTCTCATTTTGCTTTGTAGTGAATCTAGGACTGTCTGGATTATAAACTAGTTACAAACTACATTTACAGCTTCTATTTCTGCATATTAGTAAGTTGGGAGCTTTTTAGGGAAATGTAATAAGTAATGAATTTCAAATTTCTTTCATGTTTCTTCTGCAATTTCAGAACTTGGTGCAATACATAACGATGAATCAGCTTTTAATTTAATTTTAAGTTGGCTTCCCTTTGGATATTCATCTATCATCTTTCTGCTGTTCTTGATAACTGGTGCGTTGAGAATAAAATACTAGTTTATGTTTTGTTAAAGACATTGGAAATGAATGTAGAACTTAACATGAAAATGAGTAGAAATGGGATGTATACAGAAGAGGAAAGAAAAAATGAAAGTTGAGCAGAAAGCTAAAGCTACTCTAGGTTTAGAAAGTTGTCAATACCGTGAACATTTGTAAAGTAAAGCTGTTTCACTGAACTCTTATTTACACTTGCGGTTGATATGCTTGCGTCTTATGTATAAAATGTACAAGTAGGATGTGACATGTCATTTACTTTGTTGTTATATATCATACTGCCTATGTCAATATGGCTGTATTACAGTACATGGAAATGAAGGCTAAAGAGATTTCCTTCTCTACATAGTACTTTGGTTTTGTCTAAGTGACTGGCTTGTCCTTTTGGAGGGGAGGTTTTCTGATTTTACCCATGTTTAACACTTTGTTCAAGCTGAGAATATATTTGCAGAGAAGTACTAAATTGAATAGATTTTATGAAATATTTTTAAATGGTTTTGTCAGTATCTTCTGAAATAAATATGATAGTATATATAAACTTTATACTACTGTAAGAAATTAAATTCAGTGAGGCTATAAGACCATAGCATTTGCTCTGATTTACAGTATCAAATTTTAATATCAGTTTCACCTCTTTAATCCTTTTCAAATGCGTATCAGGGTCAAATGGAGTGACTAGAAGTGATCTGACCCTAATGTAAGATTGAATCCAAAGCATATTGAGGTCTGTAAAAGATTTCCATTAACTGTACTTGGAACTGAATTGTGTCCTTAATGATTTAAATTCACAGTCACCATGGATATAGAAGATGTCAAAGTCTAGTGCAATATATAAATGTTATAGGGAGCATTTCAAAAGTCTTTGCATTTTCTTCATTTATAAATAAAGCTACTTCTTGGTGGTCAGTATTGACATCCTGTGTTTCAAGGAAACTCTGTATGATATACCATAAGGTATCATTTTTATAGTAAAGTACTTCTTTACACTCTATACAAATTCTGTTGTGTCAGGAGGGTTGAATACACACCTAAATACATACATCTATGAATCTATGTCTGTTTTACAAATCACAGTAATTGCTGTAAAAAGGTTGAATGTCTGTATATCAAGAGTGGATTTTTTATTTGCTGTTTGCATATTCAGGAGGCATAGAAGAATCCAATAAAGTAATTTTATTACTCTTCAAAGCTCTCATTATGGAACACATGAGAGTTAATGAAGGAGCACGAGACTGGTAGTGGTTTTCATCTCGAGAAACAGAGTGATATTTTAACACTTAATCTTAGATGAGGTTTTTACTCTCAATCTTCAACCTTTAGCTCTCAATTGTAAATGATCATATCCATGCTAATAAGGCTTCTTCTAGGACTGACATTGCATCTTGAGCATTCCATTTTGTCATTGTCAAGTTCAGACTAAAAAAATGGTCGTTTCCTTGTCTTTACTAGATGATGTTGTCTTAGTTACTGCTCTGGTCAGCAGGTTGAGAATCATAAAAAGTCAACTTGTGAGAAAATAAGGCAGTTTTAAAAGGTCCTTATTAGTAGACACACTTTATTAATAAAAAAAAAAATCTCATAGAAGTAATTCTTATAGAGAAGTCCAAAAGAGTGGTCCCTATTCCATTACAGAAATGGGGTTGGTACTACTGATCAGGAACAGAGAAAAAAATCTTAAATGTAGAGGAAAAAGTCCAATTTAAGGACTAAAACCTCAAAACAGCATAATTATGCATGCTAGCAAAAAAAAAAAAGGCTTCTTGGTGATTACGTTCTAAAGGGGATAGCAGCTTTGCCTAGTTTTGGAGTGGGGAGGGAGGTAGTTATTTTCACTTGGAACCGTTCTAACTAAATAGTATTTTTAGCAACTCCAGTACATGCAGACTTTTTAAAGTGGTTACATATAAGTTTGTAGGCTTCTGTAATTTTTAGGCAATGTAATTTTTATTTTAATCCCAGTGATATTGAAGGAAGACATGGCTGTATTTCTTTCCTTTGCGACCCTATCAGCAGTATTTCCTAGAGTGCAAGACACACTGGGATGTTATTGCAACTAAAGGTCTTGAGATGCTTGAATATTGAAAGTTAGTCTGGTGTAGGTGTGTCTGTGTGTGTTTTCAAAAAGTCACGAATTAGTAGTCATTACCCTAACTTATGCTACTTAAGAAGCATTTTTTATTTCTTTGTTTTAACTGATAATTTTGTAAAAGGACCTAATAATATGAAGATGTTTTGGCTCAGTGACTAAAGCAGTGAAATTCTAAGCTATGGTAAGGGGAAAACATTTCTCCTTAGTTGAAGGTAGTTAGAGAAATTAAACATAAGGCCTTGTAAATTTACTAGGTATCCAGACCTGAGTATGTGCATATGGCATGCACCAAATGCAAACTTCTTCAAACCCATCTTCAGTATATGCAACTTAATATGTGTTTAACGTTCAGAATATAAAAATTCTCTTAATTTGGGTTATTTTACTTTTATCTTCATTTCATTTGCAGAATACATCAACAAGGAAGTCCTACACAGTCTCCTCCTGCAGACACATCCTTCAGCAGTCGCAGGGGAAGACAGCTACCGCAAGTTCCAGTAAGAAGTGGCAGTATAGAGCAAGGTATCAAATAATGAGCTTATGATAGCTCAAACTCTTTGATTTCTTACCTTTTTTTACTTAAAGTCTACTTTCATACCTACGTGTTCAATCCTACAATTCTACCAATAAAGCAATAGAAGAGAATGAAAGCATATTTGTAGTCTTGGAAATCCAGTAGAGTTTGACCGGTGGATTATTACACATGGTTTAATTGCCTTAATTTTCTAGTATCCTTTTATGTTTGTCTGCTTTAAAATTTCTATTAGAGTCGTGGTAGTTTTCAACAAATATCTACTTTGTATTCAGCTAAAGAAATCAGGGGCAAAGATTTTGACAACATTCTGACAGTCTTACTCATTTCTTATTTTGTGGTTTATATTAATTGTTGTGCATTGTTAACATAGATTAATAATAAATATCACAAATCTGGTTTTCCTCTGGAGTTCATAGTTTAGTGATTAAAGAATGAAAATAGTCACCATGAGAAATGTAAAAGCACAGGTCATCAGCTCTTTCTTAAGAATAAACTGATCAGGCAAAGAGTGCTGCTCTTTTCTGAAAAAGACAATGTAGACCTAGTGGTTGTGGAAGATGTTTTTTACATACTAATATCAAATAAGTATGAATATTGCTGTTTCCTTTTCTAGCAACATACTGCACAGAGAGTATGAGCTATTATGGTAAAATGAAATGGCACAATGGATATTTGCACATTCAGGTTTTCTTCTGTGTTTAAAAAGCCTGTTTTCTCATTGACTACAAGCAACAACTGAGATTGCCATGTACCACAAGGTTTTCTTCTGTGTGGAAATTAAAGAAATGCTTCTAATGATGAAATATTGTAGTGCTTTACAGAACTGTTGGCAGACTGCTTTCTTTAGTAGGTAATGTTGCTGACCATGACCTTATCATGATAGGTCACCATAGGGGTTTTTTGTATGATGGCTTATATTAACATGCAATCAGCTTACATTAATTTAATGGCTTTGAGCTGTGATGGCATACTACACCTTCAATTAACA